TTATCTATTATAATTATTTTTTTAATTATTTTTTAATTTAGAACAAAAAAACTAACTCTCATTTCATTTTATTAAATCAAATTTTATCTATTATAATTATTTTTTAATTTCATATTAATTTACGTAAAAAATTAATTATTTTTTATTTAATTTTATTAAAACAAATTTAATCATAATAAACTAAAATAAACAAAATTAGACAAAATTAAAATAATTTTCTTGTTTCATCTTCCTAGACCTTCTTCCCTTTCCCTAGCTCCATCCCTTATTATCCTCCTCTCCTTCACCTCCATCCTTCTCCATTTGGGTTCTCATTCTCCCAAATCTGATCAATAGAACAAGAAGTATTGGGGCCTAATTTTTGAAATACATTCTCCCAGAGCTCTGGCCGATAATCTCTCGGACTCCCTTCTTCCTTTTTTTTCTTCTGTTCATTCCTCAAAGAAACTCCAGCAAAACCCACAAATTTTCACTGAAAAATCCAACGAAAATCCAACAGTAATAATGGAGGATGAGAGAAGTGATGGATTTGGGAAAGAAGGAGGAGGAATCCAGCAAACCTTAAACCCATTGATCAATCTCAAATATGGTCCCTTTGAACCCTAACCTTAGGCGCCTCCATAGAATCTTGCAGCCTCAAGGATTTGGGTTCCCATTTTCCTTCTTTCTGTAAGATTTGAGCACATGGAGAATCCAGATTTGATTCTCTTGATGAGAACCCACCAAGGTTTTGAAGGATTTAGGTGAATTGAGGATGAGGTGAGTGTTTGGCTGAGATTAGAATCATAGGAGGAAAAGAAAGTAAGATGGTGATGATAAACGATAAAAGAGAGGAAACGGTGGAGGTTTTCAGGAGGGAGAGAGAAAAAAGTTGGAAATGGTAAGGAGTGATAAGGGGATGATCAGAGTTGGAGAGAAAGGAGTTGAAGGACGAAGATGGGGCATTTAGATAAGTTTGTATCTTTAATGTATTAATTAATTAAAATGATTAAGTGTGGCTGTAAAATTATAGAAATATATGATGTGAAAGTCCAAAAAATGTCATATCATCAAAACAAGATATTTTTTTTACACTCATTAAACCTTTTAAAAAGTGTATGATTTTCTAACATTTTAACGTGTGACGTGTCACTTTCTTTGAGCCCGACTGGGAACTGAAAATTAAAGTCGAAAGATATTTTTGTTACTTTTTTAAATTTAAGGATGAATTTAGTACAAGCAGTTAAAGCGATTGCCGTGTTGAAACAGGGCAGATTACCATCTCCAAATACCTCAGGAAATCGAAAAACTCCCAAAGTTTCTCCAGGGATTTAGGATTTACAATCACTTCTTATACAAAGTTCATCTGATTCCACGATGTCATCGCTAGCACTTTTTCGGAATCCATTGGTCATCCTTCTAAGTAGTTTCTTGGTCCTTGCAGCAGCTCAAGGTGCTTCCCGCAATGTAAGCGTGGGTGATTTTCTTACTGCCAATGATCAAAACCCTACATGGCAATCACCATCCGGTGATTTTGAAATTGGGTTTCGCCATACTCCAGACCAACAAGATCGATTCCTCCTTGCTATCTGGTTTGCCAACATACCCGAAAAAACCATAGTTTGGTCTGCGAATGGAGACAACCCTGTAGAGAAAGAATCCAAAGTTAACCTTACCTCAAGTGGTCTACTGCTCAGTGATCCTTCTGGCACGGAGCTTTGGTGGACTAAGAGCAACCAAGATAGCACTGGAGGAGTATCCCATGCAGCCATGCTGGATACTGGAAATTTTGTCATCACAAGCACGAATTCAGACAACATATGGGAGAGCTTCCAAAATCCAACAGACACCATATTGCCAGGGCAAGAACTAGGCCTTAAAAGCACACTTTCATCGGCCTTCTCCTCAAGAAGCTACAAGAAGGGGAGATTTCAACTCCGTTTCACCTCCGAATCTCTAGGCCTCAATGGAATAGATGTCTACACAGGGAGATCTTTCCAATTTTACTTCAACATCGCAAATGGTTCAGGATTGATCTTCAACAAATCTGGGCATATCCAGATCAGGAAATCAAATGGAAGTATTGTCAACATTGCACCAGAAAATACAGTCCCAATACAGGATTTTTACTATAGGGCTACACTTGACTTTGATGGGGTTTTCACCTTGTATTCTCACTCCGGAAATGGAGATGAAAGTTGGTCATCCTTGTGGTATAGACCGGAAGATATCTGCTACAGCTTTACGGGTCCAAATCCTGCACTCGGAATCGGGCCTTGTGGTTTCAACAGTATTTGTCAACAAGACCCAGATGGAATGGTTAATTGCCAGTGCCCACCTGGGTTTTCTTTCCTGGATGCAGTGAATAAGCACTTGGGATGCAAGCCAAATAACCAAAGCTACCCAGGAGACTGTAACGATGCAGGCTTTACAATTGGGGAGGATAGTTTTGAATTCAATTCAATGCCATTTGTAGATTGGCCCTATGGTGACTACGAACTCCTGCAGCCTGTAAATGAGACAGAATGCAGGTGGTCTTGCCTTCTTGACTGTACCTGTGCAGTAGCCAGCTTGGAAGATCCGTCGCTGAACAATGGCATTGGAAACTGTTGGAAGAAGAAACTACCGCTTTCAAATGGGTGGTACAACAAAAGCAGAAATAACAGAATAGTACTTATCAAGGTACCGAAATTAGGTGAATCTCTGTTGAACCCTCCCAATCTAAATCCAGGCAAAAAAAGGCAGAATCAGGTCATTCTCATTCTCTCAGTCCTCTTAGGCACATCAGCATTTTTCAACATCTTTACTTTGGTTGTGGTTTCCTTGCTTCTCTTCTATTTCTACCAAAGAAAGCTTCAGGATCTGAACAGG